TAAAATTTCATTTTAATCAATTATATTTTAACCTTGGTTAGAGAATGATATTAAAACAATTGCTAGAAAGGATGTTATGAATCGGTGCCAATAATTACTATTAAAAATTGGTTCAATATACTTAAACATTAAATAATAATTTATTTACAGTTTAGTAGCAATAAAAAAATTATATTTATTGTTATAGTAAAATTAACCATGAATCTTAATTGTAAGTATTAATATTAATTTATTACATTAGAATAAAAATATTAATTTATTACATTTAAATAAAAATTAAAAATATCAATTTTAATTACACAGCGGTAAGTGCAATTATTTATGGCATGCACATGGTCACTTTGTTGGTGATGGCTAAATGCCCCAGCGCAGACATCCTAGCACTTGGTTGCTCATGCTACAATCAAACCTTTGTGGGCGAGAGTATAATATGCACCACGGACATTACTGGTGAACAATTAAAAAGCATGTTCAGGGTAATTGGCCAGGAATTGACCACGCCAAGTGATCGCCAATTTGGATTATTTGCCTTGAGCAACAAGAAAATCACCCAGCTACCCGCCAACCTATTTGAGTCGCTTAAATTTGAGCGTGTACGTTTTGTATCATGCCCCAAACTAGCCACAATGGACCCAGATGCTTTCAACGGCACCAGCGATACTATCCAGGAGATTGTGATCGATCGCTTGGGCTATCACCATGGTGATCCCATAAAAGTCATTAACAAGATGTCACACTTGACCAGCGTTGACATCGTCGAGACAGACATCGGGGTAATTCCCAGCGGAGCTTTCAGTAAACTCTACAGTTTGTTTACGTTGAATATTGTGGGCAATAACATCGGGACAATTGCAGCAGGTTCCTTTGCATTTGACCCCACGCCCACTCCACCCCCGTTTCCAAGCGCTCAAACATATGTGTATTTTAATAGAAATAATTTCACCGAGAACAGCTTTTGTTGGCTGTAAGCGACCTATCAGACTAACGTTTAATGATAATGATAGCTTAACGTATTTGAGCGAGAGCGTTTTTTCGGTATTTTTTCGTGAAAGTTCGTATAATTTGTTGATAACACGAGTGGACTGTCAGGAGTGTCGTAATAAGTGGCTCCGGGAGCCGGCGTTTGAACAACAATTGAAGGAAACTCTCTGTACAAATGGTTGGCTATTAAATGATACACGCAATTTTGTTGGCTGTTAATTATATTAGTTATATAAATTGTACAAATTGAATATGATGAAATAAAAGTGCATAAAATTTTAATTATAATTAATTCAATTACAAAATTAATTTTAAAAGTTTGTCATAAATCTCTCTCTCTCTCTCTCTCTCTCTCTCTCTCTCTCTATCTATCTCTATCTCTCTATCTATCTATATATAATATATTATATTATATATTATATGTTATATACATGTATATAATAATTCAATGCTGTATATAAACAGTGTGTAAATATAATGATTAAAATATTATTATTATTTTGAATAGTACTACGTATTTAATACAACTTCAATAAAAAGGATATTGTGCTTTTCTTTTTGCAAAAATAAATATGCATGTTGGTAAGTTTTATTGACAGGAGAAATAAGAGAGAGAGAGAGAGAGAGAGAGAGAGAGAGAGAGAACAATAAATGAGTATATTTTATTATTAGTTCCATAATTAAAATATAATACTTGTATGTATGTTTCATAGATACGTTGTTCATTTAAACTAGTTTAAGAAATAACACGCAAATCAGACCAATCATCTAAAATATTACAAATTTAATTTGAATTATTTAAATTAGTAATTACAGGTCATCTCCAATTTAAGCGAATGATTGGTGAAATGGAAAATATGTCCCTTAAATCGAATTCCCCTTATATCGAGCCTTATATAAAAGTCTATAAAACAACAAATATAAGCTTAAATTCATGTTTTAAACTTGTAAATGTTTGATATATTGAGATATTCAGCACTAAATTGTTTTAATATATCTTTATTTGGACACTTTTCGTCGACTATTTTAATCACATTATACTTAGTTTCTAATGAAAACCTTTTTCGATACCTTTTGTCAGTAATTTTGTTGACTAAATGTTTTTTCATATAAAAATCAACATATTTGTATGTAGACACTTTTCGTCGACTATTTTAATCACATTATACTTAGTCTCTAATGAAAACCTTTTTCGATACCTTTTGTCAGTAATTTTGTTGACTAAATGTTTTTTCATATAAAAATCAACATATTTGTATGTATTATTTGTGTACTTTACAAATATTTTGACAAAAATATCATAGATTATATTTCATTTACAGTTTTGAAATAACATTTCGCTTATATTGGGTTCAAACAGTTATATGCGTGCAGTAAAGTTTGTCCCTTATATCAAATTTCGCTTAAATCAAATTCCCTTTATATCGGATTGTGTAATGTTAATCACCCATAGGAGCGTTCGGTGCAGCAAAAATCCCTCCCTTAAATCGAATTCTCCTTAAATCGGTGTCTCTTAAATTGGAGATAACCTGTATTTTAATATCAATACTCACTTCATATCCACTGAATCTATTGATGAGAAATAATTTCCAACAATAAAATCCAAGTTTTTCTGAACCCAATTTCTCAATCAATGATAATAACTAATTTTAATTAAAATAACAAAACTAATAAATATAAATCAGCATAACAGTTAATTAAACAAAATATTATTAAATTAACAAACCTTAAGTTTCATAAACTTATATTTAATTCTAGTGATATATAGTGTGTTCAAAATTTTAAACGAATATTTGCTTTGATTGTATAACACAGACGAGTAATGAATTGTATATAACAGAGTGACCATATAAAATAATGTATATACTAAAATAATTACCCTGACAACTAACACTATGTTAACAAAGAATACAATATATATAAGAGTGCTAACAATGCTACTAATTAGAAACCAATAAATTGCCAATATTTTAGACCAATAAACATTATTGTATTGATTAATGTCGGCAAACAAGTTATGTGAATCTCTAATAATTATTATAATATTACGATGATAAAAATTATGCTTCTTAATACATTGTTTGATTAACTGATTTATTGAGACAAATCTTAGTATCAGATAATACGTGATGATAAAGTAGTAAATTAATTGCCAAATGATAATTTTAAACGCAAACAACCCTACCAAACCAATTAACAAACTATAGGGTAAACCCAGGAAAACCATCTCCAAGTAAGTCTGGTTTGGGGCGAATATACTAAATATAATGATTACTTGAGGGATATATGAAGTTTTATCAATGATTTCGCCAACAAATATAAATTTCCGCGAAAATGATAGTAATTTTTTAAGGGTACGTATATCATGAATTCCGACACTTATAGGTGTTACTAAACCGCATAGCATTTGAAATACACGCAAATCAATGGGTTTTATTTTTTTGGTATAGTTATAATAACTAACCATTTGTGACAACAATGGTATCGACATTAAATATATCTTAAGTAAATTTTCAGGTATTCTGAAATGAATAAAATAACCTGTATCACCTACCAATAAATAGAATTTTGGACCCTGTTCAGGTATTAATAGTATTATAATGTATTTAATAATAACGAGTAATAAAATTAAAAATACGACAATAGGATTATAGATTGCATTTCTGCGGCAATGAATGTATGGTTTATATAATGAGAGACCAGTGCTATAGAAATGAGTGCCCGCTTTCCCGATGACCACCCCTTCCGGCAATACTTCACTCGTTTTTATTGAATTCATTTTAACGTTTAATTAATAATAAATGTTTGAATAATAGAAATTAATATTATTATAAATTATTTAAAATTAATATATATGTTATTAATAATAACTTATTATATAAAATATTTGGTATTAAAACAACTTAAGTTAAATAATACGTTTTTAATAATAAAGAAAATCAATTTCAAATATATAAAATAATCATATTTTTATGCTAAAATTATTAATACTGTATAGCATTGTGAGTTATAATTTATATTTATTTTATCAACATGATATTATTAAAAACTTGTTTAAATAATGATTAAGACTATTTAAATAATACGAATGACTACTTTTTAATTATCATTATTTATTTAGACTATATATTGTATGATATATTTATATTAAATATTGAATTTTATATTATAAATTTATAAATGTTTAATTTTAATAAAAATGATGACATTTAAGGTATTTGTCATATAATTTGAGTGGCCGCTGGCCACTCTACACAAAATCAAATTATTGTCATAAATAGTTTATTAATTATATGAACTGTAATTTAAATTAATACAGATTTTTTTTATAATTACAGTATTATTCATTAAGTAATCTCGGAAGAATAAAACCACAGAGAATTAATTTTTAGCTTGTTAGCATATTTTAAAATATAAATAATTATCATGAGTGCTTTAAATTTACACCATGGTGTAAATCCTATGGTGATGCGTAATGTATAACTGTAAGTTAAAGCACTCTTGATAATTATAGTTATATTTTAATTTATTAAAGAGTGTTAATAAAAACACTAAATTAAGCCAATTTAATTCATATAAGTTTGATGAATTAAACAAAGTTAAATTTTTAATAAAAATTTATCAATTTATTTATCCTCAAAAATAATATTAAATTTAATTTTAATTAATTCAATGTTGAATAGATGATGATAAATAACATTCAATCGCAACTTATAATTCAAAACATATAAAGGTCTGGTTTTGCAGCTAGATTCAAGGATTTGTTAAACATTTTTATTAACACATCAGTTAGTTATTATAACTTATAAGTTATAACATTGATATGTGTTTTAAGTTGGTTGAGCTCATGTCTGTAAAATATATAAATAATTTTCCATTGATTAGTATTGAAAATATATAGCTAATATTTTAGTTTATTATTTGATATCACAAACTATTGATTATTGATTAGATTTCTAGCATTGATATCGCATTGTATTTAACAAATAAATGTTTAATTTTTAGTGTTTCTATAATCATTAAATTTAATATTTGATTTAAAATTGTGCAAAATTTTTACATAATTATTAACCAGGATTAAAATGTGCGATAATTTTAATGGTAAACGCGTGTTGGTCACCGGCGCCGGTAGAGGTATGTAATAAATAGATTTTGTGAACTTTTATTGCTATAATAATTAAGATTTGATCAGGTTTGATAATATTTTTAATTATTAATGTATTTATTTTACAAACTGTAATTTAATAATTTAATAGTGTGCTGGTTTATATTAATTAATGAAATAATTATATGTTGGTGTTGAGGCAATCAAAATGAATTTATAACTTAAAATATTTATCATGTTCTTCACCTTTGATTACAAAAATTACAATATAATTACTCTTATTTATTAAATTATTAATCATGAATCATAACAATAAACATATTTTATTTAATTTATTAAATTATGTTTATTATTAATAATGATCATGGTAATTATGCTAATGTGAGTGAGTTTGAATGATTGATTGAATTACTTATTTATACAAGTAGTTTAAGTGAAATAACCATGTTTATTTTCAGGCATTGGGAGAGAAATAGTGAAACAATTAGTGGCCGCCAACGCACGGGTAGTCGCTTTAAGTAAAACCCAAAGTAACCTGGATTCATTAAAAGCCGAGGTAATAATTGAAATTTCAGCAACTCATTTACAAATTATAAAGTAATATTTAAAACTTTAAATTTCCATACATTTAGTACCCATCAGTTGAGACCATACGCTGTGATCTATCGAAATGGGATGAGACTACCGGTGCGGTCGAAAAGGCGGGTGCTATTGATCTACTCGTTAATAACGCCGCGTTCGCCGCCTTAACCCCATTGGGCGCTATCGATGAGTCAATTATTGATCAGTTTGTATTATTTTAAAACTATATTAATAAAATATTTGTTAAATTTTAATTAAATATTAATTATAGTTAATATTATATATAATTAATTATGACAGAATTTTAGTTAAAAATATTTTTTGCATAATAGTCTATAATTAATAAAGTGCCTAAATAAATTATGAATGTATGAAACGTATAATAGATTCTTATTTAAAGATAAAAAACTAACAATGACATGCATAGGGCCAGTTTGTAAATTAATTAATAATATTGTATTAGTTAATTGGTATTTAGTTTTAAAATGACAGTTTTTATTTGAAAACATTATTTAACAATTAATATTCTAATATTTTTATTACATCTCTCTCTCTCTCTCTCT